ATTTATTAATATTCAATTAAACAATTATTGATTTCTTATTCAACTATATTTCTGAACAAATAGAAGAAATTTAGAATATATATATCTTACACTTGAATAATATATGCATAATAACTTTCTCACAGAAGTTCAATATCTTTCATGAGGAGATAGAAACAAGCCTATACAAAAATATAAACATATTTTTACATGAATGGTACAAAAATCCAAAATGTCACACTCTGTTTATGCTGCTTATCACATGCGGACGTACTATATTATTTATATTTCAACAAACTACAAGTAAGGTAATGTGTAGCTATGATCAATAGAAATCAATTACATAGGAGTCTTAATTATATATCCATAGCTTAGTTAATGATCGTCTAAATAAATAATCCCATATAGCATTTTATGTTTTGAACTAGATTTACTTTTTAAAATGTTGACATATATAATAATGATCATGTACAAATAAGACCCAAGTTTTATTCATAGGTCACTTTATTTGATTCGCACAGTCACACTACTGACAACTCAAATCACGGATTAGTCATAGCTCAGGTAAGTAAATTGAGACTTTAATGAATACTAAAGGATACAATATAAATACAAATGTTATGTTTCTTTTAATAATTGAAAAAAAAATATGTGATGCAGACAACTATCGATAAATTGGAATCATTATGCAATTGGTATATTCAGGATGTATTAAAAAATTGTTATAATATACACGCTAATAAATACGAATTAGCTTTCTTATATTCCTATCCACAATGCAATGGCCATAATAGAATTTCATGCGAATGTAAAAAAATCTTGTAAAATGTAATCATTTTTATAACTAAATACTGACGTATTTTATTAATAATTATATTTCTTGCCGATTATAAACTTAGAAAATAAATTATTTTTTTCTAACTTATATAATAAATAATTCACATACGAAATATAATTGTGGACTTTTAGCAGAATTTTTTATTTAATATTCATTTAAACACATAGAGATAATATACACGAAATATGGTGTATATTTATTCAGCAGTTTATTTAAACAGAGACGCACTGAATAGATTGATATATTTATTTACATTATGTACAATTTACTTTCTGTTTCTCCTAAGGCTGGTAAAACAATGTATTGTCTGCACAATGCTGAAACTATTAAGGAAAATTATATCCGAAAATAATATTCGAATATAAATTTCCTTACTTTCGAATAATAATATATTCTATTTTGAATGAGTTTAACATTGTGCAAACGTATATATCCCTGGCGATTATGTAACTACATACAATAATAAGTTTATACTGCTTTATATATTTGTTGATATTTTCTCCTTTTATCTATCACATTATATTTATAAAATTTAATCAAAAACGCGTGGACGAGATAATTTTATTCCAAAGTTTTCGTTTCACAATTTATAGTTTTAT